AACTGCAAGCAGATGAGTGCTTTGCTAAGGAGAAAATCAAAAGTTGCAGCTTCAGAGTCATAATTGATAGCTGCATAGTACATAAGGGGAAGTGTACCAGGGTCATTGCAAAAGGGATCGACTGATTTAAATATCCTGAAGTTTCATTATATTGATGGCATTGACCTGTGAGAGATGAGCCATTCCAGTTATGGAGATTGTAATTTGAAGGAGCACATACAACAATAGACAGAGGCGCAACATGCTGCCCACCCTGGGTAGTAGCAGCTAATTGAATACCAGACAGCTAGGTTACTATGTGAAGCCGGTATTACATTTTAGGAAGTTTAGTGTGTCAGCCTTTCAGTTGTTTGTCACATCTTGAATTTGTGCCTTCTTGAAATATGGATGTACTTGGCAGGGAAAGAAAGGTTTTTAAAGTTGTCCACAGATCTGGAATGCACCATTAATAAAGGTTTATCAGCTAAAATTTCACAGCTCACATTTTTGAAAAGGTTTATTCATGGAATTTAGCCATTGTTGGAAAATTTATTGCTCTTTGTCTTTGTATTGGCTTATTTAAAATCTAATTTATAGCTGCTATTGAATTCGTTTTGACTGTTAACTCATGTTTAACTTATCTTGAGTTTGGTTTGATTGTTGAAGTAAGAGTTATAAAAAGTTAATTTTGTACATTGGTTTCCTCTATTGGCTTGTTTGGTAAGTTTAGTTCTTATAGCTTATACTTCTCCACAGGGATCAGAACATTATAGGCAGCCACATATTTAATCCTCACGGTAGTACTTTACACACAGATATAGTGAGAGATATGGCATCTTTTCATCACCTTCCCAGTTGCCTAGTAAAATCTAGTGGGAGCAGTATGTCTGTTATTGCTGGTCCAAAGCTATTATGAATAAATCCACAGAAATATCACCAGAATTAGAAAATGTACATTTCTATTTGAATAAAAGTTCTTTTAAATTGTCTTAGGTTCCTCAAAGCTTAATGTTTAAGTTGCAGCCCCAGCTCATGAAAAACTGGTCAAGTCATTTATGGTGCCACAAGGACAAATGCATAGAATTTTCTCTAGGGTACACTCAACACCCTAGGCATGAATTTGCTCACCTTTTTCCCTCATGTCCTTGCCTGAGATCATCTTGCTTCAGAGATCCTCCTTTCACTTCCTTGGTGCTATTCTTAATAAAGTATTGATCATTTAACCTCCCTCTCAAGAGACATTAGCTGATATTTGTTAATGGTTCATTCTCATTATGTCCTGTGATGTCCTCCTTAGAATTTGCTATTCTCCCCATTTTCCCAAAAATGCAATACTTGATCCCTCTGCCACACCATTCCAACCTTGTTTTTCCCTCTAAAGTTATTGAATGTGTTATTGCTTCTCATATCTGTGTCCATTTTTCCTAGAACTGCGTTTGAATCACTTCAATCAGGTTTCTGCCCCACCACAGTATAAAAATGATACTTTCCATCGTCATGAGTATCCTCCTACGTGACTGTGCCAATAACAAGCTATCCTTGCTCACCCTCCTTGACCTGGCTATGAGTTTTTAGAAGGTTGACCTCACTATCCTTCTACATTTCTCCACTATTATTCAACATGGTGAGCCAACTCTTATCTGACTGCATTATCTATCTCACTGTATCCTGCATGGCTTGCTTACTCCTCCTGAATTTAACTTCACGTGTCCCAAAAAATCTATCCATAGTCTTTCATCATCTACATATTTCACCTCAACAACAAAACTAGAATTTCAATTTTCACATGGATTCTGACAGTTTCCAGTTGTGCAACACCAATAACTCTCTCAAAATTATCACACCGCTTGTCTGACCTCTAGGTGCTGGATGGGCAAAACTTTCCTCTACCTAGCTATTGAGAAGATCAAAACCATTTTCTTCAGTCCCTTCTGCAAAATACATTCCCCAGTCATCAACTCCATTTTTCTTCCAGTCAACTATCTAAGGCAGAACCAGACTGTTTGCAAAATTGGGAGTGTATTTGGCACTGAGATGATCTGACTCCATATCCATCATGGGTATATCCTTTTCCACTTCCCAAATATCATCTGACACAGCCTTGTCTTCATTCAACTACTGCTAAAATTCTCTGAACTTGACGTTTCCAATGCACTTATGGCCAGCTGTACCCTTCTTAAACTTGAGTTACTGTAAAACTGTGCTGCCCACGTCTTTACTCACATTGAATCCCTTTCATCAATTGCCCTTTGTTTGGTATTGTGTATTATCTCTCAGTTAAGCAACACCCTGATTTTAAAATTTTTATTTTTGTTTCCCATTCTTCCCTGGCTCTTACAATGCCAACTTGTCCAACTCCAGTACTTCTGACACATGTGTTTCCCCAACTGTGACCTCAAGTTAGCATTCTCAATTTTAATCACTTCATAATTTGCAGGTATGCCTTCATTTTATAAGGTCCGCAACCCTGCAATTCATATCTTAGGCTTCTATGCATATCTTTTTCTTTCTCCTCATTTAAGATACAGCTCAAAGCCTTCAAATTTGATTCAGGTTTTGCCATGTGTTCCGATGTCATTTAACATGATTCAATGTTAAACTTTATTTGATAATGCTCCTGGAGAGTATCTCAGAACATTTTGTTACATTAAAGGCACTAGATGAATCAAAGTTGTTGTTGCTTTTTAATTCACATTCAAAAATTATCCACTCGGTAATCTGGCAATTAATAAAATGTAAGGTGCATTTGCAGTCATCTTCAGTAACCTTTCATGCAATACTCTAAATAGTCTCCTGAGAGATGTTCTTCATTTAATTAATGTAACATCATGCACACATAATCCATATAGTGCATTGGATATATTTAATGAACAGTTTTCTTTGGAAAAGAAAATTGGAGGGGAAAATATAGCAACACCTTTAAGCATGGGAACTAAAATAGCAAAATAAAACTGATTAACACAGCTTGCACACAACTTTTTTTCTGATCACCCAAACTGCGAACTTCGACAAGGTGATTTTTCATATTTGGAAATAAATTGTATGAAGTAACACACTGTTACGTATACACACAGACAGGATTCTACACTTTCTTGGAAAAAATACCGAAGTACTGAATGCTAAACAAATGTGCTGATTGAAGGAAATGCAGAAATTTTCATCGAGAAATTAATTCTTTAAGTGTAAAAATTAAATAGTTCTCTGAACGCTTGCTAGATTATTGTAGGTCACATGATAATAGTTTTGAAAAGATGTCAGGCTAGTATAGGTACAGTAAATGTTGATGGGATCCAACAAAAGGTAACAGGTTGAATTTGAAATTGACACGGTGACAGGAAGCAAGTATTGTTGCTGATGAGGGATTTTGCAATATGCACGTTGTTTGCAATGCATTTTGAAAAGCTCAGTGCTAGGTCTCCTGCTTACATTGTCTATATCAATAACTTAGGCTTCAATGTGCTTCAGACGTTCTTTGATATTAGAAGCGTAGTGTATGTTTGATGGTGAGAATAAAAGCTCTCAGCTAAAGAATGATATTAAAGGGTTTGATCAGAAAAGTGACAAATAAAATTCAGTCTGGAAAAATATTAGATTCTATCTAATATAAGTGGCATATTGGCTCAGTGGTTAGCACTGCTGCGTCCCAGCACCAAAGGTTGGGTTTCAATTCCACCCTCAGGTGACTGCGTGGAGTTTGTACATTTTCCCCATGTCTGTGTGGGTTTTCTCTGGGTACTCCAGTTAACTCCGACTGTCCAAAGATGTGCAGGTTAGGTGGATTGACCATGCTAAATTACCCATATTGTTCAGGAAAGTGCAAGCTAAGGTGGGTTAGCCGTGGGAAATGCAGGGTTACGGGCATTGGATAGAGGGGTTGGTCTGGGCTGGATACTTTTTGGAGGGTTGGTGTGGATCCAATGGGCTAAGTGGCCTGCTTCCATACTGTAGGGTTTCTATACTTGGGAAAGGCAAATGAGGTAAGAGGATGTAAAATAATTGGTAGTATGTTGACAAATTTAGACAAACAGGAAGTCCTTGAGTGCATGGCTACTGATGCTTGAAGCTAGAGGACAAGTGGACAGACAACTGTGATGGTTAAGTAAACTTACAGACCATTTTCCACTTTTTCCTTAGATGCTGAATGAAGGGATAGAGAGGTTATATGAAAGCTTCAATTTCAGCCATAGTCAAAGCCCTACACACAGTTCTAGACACCACATTATTGAAAATAAATGATAACATAAGATAACGTGCAAAAGAATATCGCTAAGACTTACATTCTTTAGCTTTGAGCAAAGATGGAATAGACTGGGCTTGTCTTTGCTGGAACAGAGACAGTTGAGAGGTGATTTAATTGATTAATAAAACAGTGGGTATGGAGATAGGATAGAAAAAGCTTTTACCCCTCTTCAGAGGGTTCGATAATCAGGGACATTATTTATAGCCAAAAGAACTGCGGATGCTGTAAATCTGGAACAAAAACAAAGTTGCTGGAAAAGCTCAGCAGGTCTGGCAGCACGTGTGAAGGAGAAAACAGAGTTAACATTTCGGGTCCGGTGACCCTTCCTCAGCATTTGGTTGAAGGTTTAAAGTAAGGTTGAAGAGGTATTTTCTGCTCAGACGACAGTGAGGGTCTCAAACATAATCGCTGCAGAGACGGAAGCATGTATCACATTTAAAAAGTATTTGATATGCGTTGAAATCTACCAAGGTGTTGAAGAACTGGAAAATATGATTAGGTTGGACAGCGAGATTTGAGCAAGAGGGCTGTAAATGCTTCTAGTCCTGTTAGGATAGCTTCCATCGTTTAATATAACATTGCCATGGCGAACTCTGAAAAGAGGTGCTGGTTTTTACATGTACCGAATGCTCCCGCCTCCATCGAGCTGCGTTTGGTCTGAGCGTCATCAAGTCGATGCTACGTTAGAAGTGCAGCGCTGCAGCAGCGACTCCAACATTTGTACACTGGCAGATCCTGCAGCAAGGAGTACCGGCTCTTCACACCTCACCTTGCATACAAGGAAAAGTTCAAGTCGGTGAGCTTTGCTCTGCACTGTCGACTGTTACACAGAAGTTTTCAATCTCATCTGATCGATAAACCTAGGTAAGAGTTGCTTCATGTCCCTAATAATGCCTCTGTACCTGATCCTACTTGTTCAATATTTTAAGATTTTCTTCAAGCACTTGTTTTAGTCTAAATTATACATATATAGATTATGTTGTATTTTTATGTTAAAATAATTGTTTTTTTTTTGTTTTATTCTTTTTATAGATGAGACTATGGGCACTCCAGTGGTAATTACTAGAGAAGGCATGGGTTCCAAATGTATGTTGTACTTATCTGATGAATGTACCCCTGGCATTATCCCAAACAGCACTTTCCCAACCACTTCATATTATTGGGAAAACAGCACCGATTTTTTTGACTTTCACACGAACACAATGAACACCCTTATCCCCATCAGTATTACCACTGTCTACTCGCTCATTTTTGTGGTGGGTACGGTGGGCAACTGCCTAGTTATGTATGTGATCGTCAGGTAAGAGAATTCATTTCATTTGTCCCTTTGATCTGGCATTTTCACCATTCCCGAGAACGATCGTGAAGTTAAACTTTCGGGATAAGACCAATAGAATGAAGAAAGCATGAGTGCGAGAAAAATCTGGCGACTGCGACCAGTGTTGAAGTAAAATAATTTGATGGAAAATTTTCAATGCAAAATACGGACAATTGGACCTTTTGTGAAGTGGTGTGAATGGTTAATAACAGTTTGTAGATTAATAGTTGTTACAGCACCGAAGAGTCGGAGTATTCAGAGTCAACGTAATTTGTACAGTTCTTTTATTATTTATTATTATCAGACAAAGATTATTGGGAATTATTCAGCCAGGTCCCCTCTATTATTCTCTAGTTAATGGTTAATTTAAAATAACATGTTTTTAACACAATTAGACAAACACAAGTGCATTAGCAGTGGTAAGGAAATCCTGAACTCTTTTAGACAACAGTTTGATTTATAATTATAACGCCCCCAAATGGGAGCAATAGGTACTGACACTGGATTGAGAGATTAATCTAAATCGCTCTCTCAAGAACAATAAACATGTGTTTTCGACGTAACTGGGAAAATACCTTAGTTGGAGGCTAATGTTGAAATATGGTAATTTTTTTACACAGAGGAAAGTCAAGTATATTAACAAAAATAAAATACAGCGCACTGCCGGAAAATACTGGAAACACTCAGGACAGATGGCTTCTGAAGAAAGGTCATCGATCCAAAATGTTAATCTGACCTCCGTTTTGACACCAGTGCTGCCTAATTCGTTAAATGTTTCTGTATTTTTTTTGTTTGAATTTCAGATGTAATAATTTGTGTTTCAAGTTGGTACGTGAGCCAAATCTGTTTTTATGTTCTAAACACGCAGAAGCACAAACGTGCTGATGCAGTTTAAAAAAAAATGTCAATGGTGAATGTAAATTTGTTTCCTTGCAATAAACACGGACTTCTCCATTAAGTGGAAGGCATAGTCATCAGTTCCTGGAGTGTGCAGTAACCCATTTTCTTAACAATCTAGCTAACACTGAAATACTGTTGAAATTAACCTTCAATCAACTTTAGTCCAAAATAATAATTTGGGAATGGGTGTGGGGTGGGCATTGTCAACTGCTACCCATGTTATACTTATCTGGAAAACAAGATCTCAGCAGTCGAAAATTGAGAGGATTAATACTGTGGTCACCCTAGAGACGTCTGTCCAAGGGCTGCCTAATGCAATTTTTAAATATAACCATAAGAGGTAATACTGCACATAAAAATAACAAAGGACTGTGGATGCTGGAAATCATGAACAAAAACAGAAATTGCTGGAGAAACTCAGCAGGTCTGACAGCATATGTGGAGAGGAAGCGGAGTTAATATTTTGAGTCCAGTAACCAATCTTCAGGGCTGATAGTAGCTAGCAAAAGATGGTATATATATTATGTATGTGTGTGTGTATACACGATACACAAACTGGGTAACTGCTTTGTGGAATACCTGCATTCTGTCTTTGAAATGACCCCGAACTTTCATTTGCCTGCTACTTCATCACAACACAATGCTCCCTAGCCAACATTTCTGTCTTGAGTCTGCTGCAAAGCTCCAGTGATTCTCAGCACAAACTGGAAAAACAGCATCTCATTTTCCACTTGAGGAACCTGCAGTCTTCAGGACTTAATATCGAGTTCAATAATTTTAAAACTTGAACGCCTTTACTCACCTATAGATCTAGGCCCAATCATGACATGGGCTGCTTTCAGCACAGTCAACATATTTTCATCTACTTACAATGCCCATTATCAGTTTTTCTTTCCCCCGGCACAATATCAATCCCTTTATCTGCCTAACTGTCATTCTCTCCTTCTCAGCTCCATCTCCATCTCCGCCTATCCTCTCATTCTTTTCCTCCTTCTTAGCACCACTGCGCCATCTCTAACCGCCTCTCATCCCCTGTTTTCAGCATATATATCATCTTTTCCTAGATACAATCCGTTCTGAAAAAGGGTCACTGGACTTAAATATTAACTCTGCTTTCTCTCCACAGAAACTACCAGACCTGCTGATTTTCTTCCCAATTTCTGTTTTTGTTGCAATGTTACACCTTCCTGTTTGAGGAGACAATATATACTTAAATATGAAATTCAACTTTCTATTTTGCGAGTTTCTGGCTCACAACCAGCTTTTCAAAGATAACTAAGGATGCACACTAAATTTTGGTGAAGCCCACATCCTGTGAATTAATACAGGATTAAATTGGTTGTGTTCTTCCCATTTGCACAGACAGAATTACTGGGGCTCTGCATAAAACACTATAGCCCTCTGCTGATGAATGCTCACTGTCTCTCCTCGTGTCACAACCATCCTGAGATGGGATTGCCCCTGCTTGAGCCACCAGGCTCAGCTTAAGAATTTGCCTATGTCTTAATCTTTCGCAACTATCAAACTATAGTGAAGTTGCATTTAGCACCTGTAGCCATATCATTACATTCAAATAAGGTCTGAACCCAAAAATATTTTTGTCTATATTTCCATGTGCAGGCAGGCTGTCCACAATGTTGACGTCAGCTCAAAAATTACCCTCCTAAAAATATCTGCTGCAGTATCAATCCAAATTGGATTTTACTCTGTTTATTAAATTAAATGATTCACCCACAGCATACTATACTATATGCTATATGTCTTTAAGGCTGATACTGTTCTTTTATTCATGTTAGGGAATGTGGGGATTTTTAGCAAGATCAGCATTATTTTCCAAACCTGATTGCTTTCAGAAGTTGAAATAACAAGGTGTAGAGCTGGATGAACACAGCAGGCCAAGCAGCATCAGGGGAGCAGGAAGGCTGACGTTTTGGGCCCAGACCCTTCTTCAGAAATGGGGGAGGGGAAGGGGGTTCTGAAATAAATAGGGAAAGAGGGGGAGGCGGATAGAAGGTAGATAGAGGAGAAGATAGGTGGAGAGGAGACAGACAGGTCAAAGAGGTGGGGATGGAGCCAGTAAAGGTGAGTGTAGGTGGGGAGTTAGGGAGGAGATAGGTCAGTCCAGGGAGGATGGACAGGTCAAGGGGGCGGGAAGAGGTTAGTAGGTAGGAGATGGGGGTGGGGCTTGAGGTGGGAGGAGGGGATAGGTGGGAGGAAGTGCTGCTTGATGTGGAAAGTCTTCTTGGGCCCTGGGATGTGGTTGAGGGGGGAGGTGTAGGGGCAGGTGTAACACTTCCTGCGGTTGCAGGGAAAAGTGCTGGGTGTGGTGGGGCTGGAGGGAATTGTGGAGTGGACAAGGGAGTCCCGGAGAGAGTAGTCCCTCCGGAAAGCAGATAACAGTGTGGAGGGAAATGTGCAGGTGGGTAATTTTAACTTCCCCTATTATGACTGGCACTCACTTCGTGTTAGGGGCTTGGATGGGGCAGAATTTGTAAGGACCATTCATGAGGGTTTCTTGACGCAGTATGTAAACAGTGGAACCTGGGAATGGGTTATACTGTACTTGGTTTTGGGAAATGAGCCCAGCCAGGGTGTGAAGTTTCAGTGAGGGAGCATTTCAGGAGTAGTGAACATAATACTGTGAGTCTTAAAATACTCACAGTTAGGGATAACAGCAATCCTTGGGCGAAAGTATCAAATTGGGAGAAGGTGAACTACAACTATATTAGGCAGGAAATGGAAAATTTTGATTGGAGGCGGCTGTTTGAGTGTAAATGCCCATCAGACACGTGGGAGTACTTCAAACAGCAGTTGATAAGATTTCAGGAGTGGCACGTTCCTGCAAGAATGAAGGATAGGTGTGCCAATTTACGTCAACCTTGGAAGCCAGGGATGTTATGACCTAGGTCAAAAAGAAAAAGGAAGCATACATAAGGTCTAAGAGGATGTGAACTGATGAAGCTTTTGAAGGATACAAGGAAAGTAGGAAAGAACTTAAGCAAGGAATTAGAAGGACTAAAAGTTGTCACGAAAATTTGTTAGCAAACAGGATTAACAAGAACAAGAACAAAATTGCGGGAAAAGCTCAGCATGTCTGGCAGCATCTGTGAAGAAAAAATTGGAGTTAACGTTTCAGGTCCAGTGACCCTTCCTCAGAACTGCACAGATGCTGCCAGACCTGCTGAGCTTGTCTAGCAACTTTGTTTTTGTTCCTGATTTACAGCATCCACAGTTCTTTCGGTTTTTATTTAGGATTAACAAGAATCCCAAGGCTTTTTATACATATATAAAAAGCTAAAGGTTAGCCAGTGAAAGGGTTGACCCACTCAAGGACAAAGGAAGGAATTCATGTGTCCAGCCAGAACAGGTAGGTGAGATCCTAAATGAATAATTCGTGTTGGTATTCACCAAAGAAGGAATTGTTGGAGGATGATCTCAGGGAAGAGAGTGTTGAATTTCTAAGCCATGTTGTTATTAAAAGGAAAGAGGTATTGTACGTCTTAAAAAGTATTAAAGTAGATATGGCCCTGGGTCCTGATGGGATCTATCCTAGAATATAGAGAGAGGCAAGAGAACAAATTGCTGGAGCATTGACAGACTTCTTTGTATCCTCTTTGGCCACAGGTGAGGTCTTAGATCACTGGAGAATAGTCAATGTTGTCCCATTGTTTAAGAAGGGTAGAAGGGATAATCCAGGAAATTACAGGCCTGTCAGCCTGTCATCAGTGGTAGGGAAATTATTGGAAAAGATTTTCAGGGACAAGATCTATACACATTAGAAGCAAATGGACTTATTAGCAACAGACAGCATGCTTGTGTGAGAAGATGATAAAGATGATTGACGAGGGGAAAGTGGTTGATGTTGTCAACATGGACTTCAGTAAAACCTTTCACAAGGTGGCTCAGGCAGACTGGTTCAAAAGTTGAAGTCACATGGTATCAGAGGTGAGCTGGCAAGGTGGATACAGAACTAGCTTAGTCATAGGAGACAGAGGGTAGCAGTGGAATAATGCTTTTCAGATTGAAGGGTTGTGACTAGTGGTATTCCACAGGTATCAATGCTGGGGCCTCTGCTGTTCATA